ATATTTTGGACGGGGCGGGGCGGGGCGGGGCGGTGACGGTTTCAATGCTGAACAGACGGGGCGGTGGCGGTGCGAAACTTTATCGACGGGGCGGGACGGGGCGGTGACGGTGCGACTTTTTTACTGACTCGTCCATCTCTGATTTCAAGCATTATGTGATTGACAATCACGAAGAAATTGAATATTTTTAACAATTATTCTGTTCAATTCATAGTCAACGCTTTGAATCAAAACTAAACTTTGTAATCTAATCACCAATTATATGGTATACGAACATTAGCAACAATTAGATCTCTCATGTATATGATTAGCAGTAAGGCAAAACTGCTGTCATTTTCGTGAAGAAATATATCATCCCAAAAATGAATAAACCTAAGCATAACTCCATTCGAATACATATATCACTTGCAAGCAATCGTTGTATGTTACTTAAAAAGAACAGCTCATATACTAGACGAACATTTTTGATAAAATATCTATTCAAAGAAATACTTCGGAACAAACTCTAGTGTATCATTTACCCGTCGAATAATGAATGTATCACAAATGACTAGTTTCAAGTAGGGCTTTATTCAACTATGTAACTCATCGATAATGCAATGTGAAAATCCTTCAGATAGTGCTAGGTCACACAGTCGATGAATCATTCTAAGCATAACTTTGTTCAAATAAATCGAACATTTTGCAGCGAAGTATGTCTGTGAATCATGCTATCGAATATCACTTTACAAACGATCCATCCCAATCAATGGCTTTCTGTCCATATATATGGTTCTCATTGCATCAAAAAGACAACGACGTGTCCCTCGATGAAGATCTACACAAAAAAGATACACAGCAAATACAATCGATCCATTCATTTTTGTGCATGTCTAACCTAAAAAGCAACTGCAAATAGGGTGTTAGGGAATCGCATTACAACTGCATCATTCTAAGTAAAGTCTTGTTCAGTTTTTTTTTGCTCCGAAGACACCAATTACAGTAGAACATATTATTGAAAAGCGTATGTCTGATGAATTATCCTAAGCAAAATCATGTTCAGTTATTTTATTTTGAAGTAATCGCTAACATCAGAACAGGTAATCAAACAGCGCGTGCTATCTGGATTATCCTTAGGAAGGTCGTATTCAATTATTCTATTTTGAAGCAATTGATAACATCAGAACACGTAATCGAACAGCGCATGGCATATGAATTATCCTAATTAAGGCCGTATTCAATTATTTTACTCTGCAGCAAGGAATGTTAGTAGAACAGGAGATTAAACTGCGCATGGTAGATGAATAACCATAAGCAAAATCGTATTCAGTTATTTTAATCTGAAGCAAGGAATGTTGTGGAACATGAGATTGAACTTCGCATGGCAGATGAATTATCCTCAGGAAGGTCATATTCAATTATTTTATTTTGAAGCAATTAGTAACATCAGAACATGTAATCGAACAGCGCATGGCGTATGAATTATTCTCAAAAAGGTCGTATTCAATTATTTTACTCTGAAGCAAGGAACGTTAGTAGAACAGAAGATTAAACTGCGCATGTTAGATGAATGACCCTAACCAAAATCGTATTCAGTTATTTTATTTTGAAGCAATCGCTAACATCAGAGCACGTCATCAAACAGCGCATGGGATATGAACTATTCTAACCAAGATTGTATTCAATTATTTTATTTTGAAGCAATTGGTAACATCAGAACACGTAATCAAACAGCGCATGGCATATGAATTATCCTAACCAAGATTGTATTCAATTATTTTACTCTGAAGCAACCAATGTTAATAGAACAGAAGATTGAACTCCACATGGCAGACGAATTATTCTAAGTAAGCTCGAGTTCGTTTATGTTATTATCAAGCGACCAGTAATAGTGAAATTTATGATTGAAGATTGCATGACTGATAAATTATTTAAAGCAAGATTCTATTCAGATAAATCTCGTAATGACACCAGGAGTTAGCTTGGCCTACATGAGTGATGATGTTTGAAATAATGAATGAGCAAGACAGTGATCATATCAAAATACTTCGTTGTACTGTTCTTGACCTATCCATGAGAGTACTATTCTAAACTGATAACATCGGAAGATCATTACTGTTAGTTTCCTGTTAAGGCCACTCTCCTCTTCCCTCGGAAATCGATCTCAAGCCCAGAACTTTTGAACGGCATGAGATTTTCAGGACACGTTGGGACTGATATAGGAACTCCCTAAAAAAAGTGTCATAAGGGACCATTTATAATTTTTCAGAAGATACCGAACCTTTTGAGGCTTCGTTCGCCCATTACTGAACCATCAAAGGTTCTAGATAATTTTGAAAACGATGTCGAATAAAAAATAGGGGTGGGTGTGGGTGTGGGTGGCTGTGAAAGGCTGTGGGTGTAAGTAAAGAAAAGTATCACACCCACACCCCACACCCACATCCACACCCTCTCACACCCAACCCACACCCACATCCACACACACACCCACACTCACACCCACACCCACACCCACACTCACACCCACACCCACACTCACACCCCACACTCATGAAGAGTTTCAATCTCATTCGGTATTAGACACTTAAAGAAAGCTTACTATAATATGAGTAAGAGTATTCTTGACCTCTGATTAGCGATATGGATGATATGTTGTCTTCAACGAAAGATCTTTTTCCCCACCCGTTCTGTGCACAGAGACACTTTTTTTCTTATATTCCCTAAATGTTGTTCTATGGTAAAAACCGAACGTTGGCTTTCTACTTCAAAATTCAGTTCGAAATCAAAAACCCTAGGCCACTTGATTCCTACCTGGTGTGTACGCTGAATGCGCAGCAAAAAAAAAGGTAATGAAGATGTAAGTGCTAGGTAATTCAATGGTGACAGTTGTTTTTATTAATTAAGTATATTAATTATAGGTCCAATTAAAAGTGTGATTTTTATTCTATGGTGAAATCATCGCAAAAATGAAAAGCAATATAAAACGTATCGTGTTTATTCTATAGAATCGGTCTCCGTCCTTCAATAGAAAAAGAAAAGATCAGAATCACTCTGATGATGTTCTTC